AGCAATTAAAGGTTATAGAAGAGGCAGAAAAGGCTCAGGCCACTCAAACAGAAGAGGAGGTAAGTTATCAATCAGTTTATAATATCGTTCATACCATTAGATATTTTAACACTTCATTAACATATAGGAAAGTGGAAGTGATGAAACTTCTGAGTATGAGACCGATTCAGAAGAAGAACAAGCATCAAGAAAATTATTAAAACCTGTATTTATTCCAAGGTATGTATTATAGTTTAGACGAAAGTATAAATAAATAAATATAATTCAATTCAAATGCTAATTGTTAATTATTTTTTTTTAGAGCCCATAGGGAAACAATACTTGAAAAAGAAAGAAAGGAAAAGTTAGAAGAGGAGGCAGAGGCGAAGAGACTGCAAGAACTAGAAGAGAGGAAAAAAGAGTCACATTCAATGGTTGCTGAAGTAATTCAAAAAGAATTACAAAAAACTGGTGAATTTTTTTTTTTTTAATACACTATTTTTAATATACAATTTTAGATGTACATTTCGAACTAAAGTTGACTATAAAATTTCCAGTCAAAGAAGAAATTGGCGTTAATGAAGTCGATGATACAGATGGTTTGGATGAACAGGCAGAATACGAAGCATGGAAGTTACGTGAACTGAAAAGAATTAAGAGAGATAAAGAAGAACGTGAAGCGTACGTAGGACTTTGTTTATTTCGTTGAAAAAACCTTTTGCCACTAATGAAATAATTCTCATTTGGTTATCATTTTTTTTTTTAGGAGAGAAAAAGAGCAAGAAGAGATTGAACGGAGACGTAATATGAGTGAGGAACAACGTTTAGCTGAAGATATGTCGCGTGTAAGAGAGCAACGTGATAAAAAACCACACGGGCAATATAAATTCCTGCAAAAATATTATCACAAGGGTGCTTTCTACTTAGTATGTTGATTAATTATTTAATTTTTAGTGAAAAGATATATTATTATCAATAATTTAATATTTTTGTTGGTAATTTTGGTAATTTTAGAATCCAGATGAGAAAATTTTCAAACGTGATTATACTGAAGCAACACCCGATGAAGCAGGTGCTTATCAACAAATTTGCTTTTTCCATATTGGATTTCTCCTTTCCTGTTTTTTACAGCGTTATTTTTTTTAATTTTATTAAATATTTATTTTTAGCTCACAAGGAGTTATTGCCTAAAGTTATGCAAGTTAAGAACTTTGGTCGAGCAGGACAAACTAAATGGACTCATTTAGCTGATCAAGATACTTCAAAGGTTGGTTTTATTACTTAACAATCTTATTAAATAACTAGATGAAATTTGACTTAAATTCATTATTATTTAAAGAAAGATGCAGCGTGGAGTCAGAACTCTGGAGTTACTAAATCGATGTTATCAAAGTTGGGTGGTTTACATGGAGGGTTTGATAAACCTACATCAAAAAGACGGAGAACCAAGTAATTTCATAATATATAGTATTTACATTGTAAGTACTATCATATTACTGTAATGCACTGACCAAAAGACCTGGGTCTAATACAAAACACCCATCAAAAAAACTTACAAAAGACCCGGGTATATTATGCTAAAACGGGTCTGTGTCGAAAGGAAGAAAAATTTCAAGAATGTACATATTCTGCATTTACAATAAGCAGTCTAAAAAAAACCATATTTAATTATTATAGATCTCGTGTTTTACACTGGGTATTTTGCAAGGGGAGATATTGAAAAAGGGGAGTACTTTGGTCAGTGCACCATGGTAAATTGTGTCAATAGTGATACACTATATTGTACCTAGTACTCCATTTACAATCCTCAATCCGTTTTTTTTCTCTTTATATGTTAATTAGAATTAAAAAAACAAAATTTTAGTAATTTGAACTATTCAAATCTACTGTATGTGCACTTGAGACTTCTATAATAGTAGTCGAAATTTGTAAAGCAACAATAATCCTTATTGGCATTGGCATTTGATACCGGCATGGTTCGAAACCAAAGAGGGTTATCTTGACGAATATTGTTATGGTGAGTAGAATAATTTATTTGCCTGTAATTTAATGTTGTTAGTCGAAATACCCTATTTAGTCAAATATTTAGACAATTTTTGTGTCTAAATATATTTCGACATGGCACCCAAGAATTCTAGGTTTGTGGCGCAGCAAAGTTTTTTAAAGTTCGTTAATGTTAGGGTTAGCGTTTAGAACCAGGTTAGAAGTAAGGTTGTTATATAGTAAAATCACTCAAGAAAAACTTTTTGTTAAAGCGCTAAAGGTGGTTTCTTATGTAGATTTTTGAGAAATAAGCGACTTTTAACAAAACGAACGTTTGTTTTGAAACTTTCTGATCGTGTTACGTTACACCTGATCCCTGAAATCTGATTTGTGAATTAGGAGATCTGCGCCACAATGATCGACAAAACCTGGCACAGAATTCTTGAGTGCTGCAATCACATGATTTTTGTCCAATCACATTGCAAGATCAGGTGTAACGTAAAATCAAAACAACAAAATTAATCTTTTTTTAGGGTATGTATTGTTTAGCATTAAGATATTTAAAGATTATATTAAATGTAAAATTTTGCAAGAAAATTTTTTTATTAAGACACCAAAGATGGTTTTATAAGCAAAATTTTGAGTTATTAGCAGTTTTTGAAAAAATGAACATTTGTTTTGAATTTTTCTGATTGTGCCTAATTTTACAATATTATTGGACAAAGATTGTGCTTTTTTTGCTACCACTAAGCTATTTAATAGTTATATAATGTCTGCAGACATGTGATTTTAAACCAATTATGATACAGGATCAGGTGTAATGTAAAAACAAAACAAACTGCTAGTATAATTCAAAATTTTTACTATAAAACTATTTTCTGTATCTTAGCAAAAAAAATTTCTTATTATATACTTTACCTTTTCTACTATTATCTTAATGCTTACTTTTATCCTAATGTTAAAAGCTAATTTTTTTGATTGAAAAATATGTTGACAATCTGTGGTTTGTTTTGGTCAATGAAATTTTAGTATATATTAGGATACTGACATTTATTAGGTAATATTTTAGAGGGTAGATGGTAAAGCCAAATCTTATCTCAATATAATACTAAAATTTAATTGGTTAATAAAAATATTACCTAGGGGAAGGGGGTAGAGCTTTATAATAAATAAATATTAGGTAATAAATATCAAAGCCTTTATCACGAGACTGTAAAATTTTTATATAGTTGCTATATATAATAGTGATACTATATTATAATCTTATAGCTATAATAATTGTTTCAAATAATAAATATTAAAAATAATACTAAAATTTTGACTTATTTTATTATAAAACTTTAAAATTTTTTTGAGATGTTTTGTTCAACTTTTTTTTATAATTTGATTAGAATTTAGATTTAGTGTTTATCTTTTAAACTGTCTAGCAGACAAATTTGTCTGCTAAATTTTTTTTGCCTAATTTTTTGTATAATTGTATTAAATTTTATTAAGATGTATCCTTATATTTCCTAAGCTAGAATAAAAGTATACAACATGCTGGATATTATCTTGCAAAATTTTCTTAATACCAGTATTGTCACAAGACAGTTGTGAATAGTAAGTTTGGA